AATAATGTCAGAAAGCTGCTTGTTGGACTACCCCCTTTGCTTGAATGTTTTTTTTCGTTTTTAAATACTTTTGAATAAGGGATTTTATACAGACAGTGCGCACTGACTTTTGGAAACTTTTGGAAAGCTTCAAAACAAAAGAGCTTAGGAAAAGTAAATAAGGAATAGAGGGTGAGTAAAGCAAATCAAAAGGGAAAAAGTAAACTATAACAATAAAAAAATATTCCACTACAACTACCCCTCAAAAAAAAGACTTTATTCTAGGGGCCTTTATAAATCAGTGCAGGGAAAAAAATACATAATTCTAGGGGTCTTTATAAATCTGAGGGCCACATTATAGATACTGATAAATCATGCATTTACAGTATCCCTAAAGCTGACATCCCCCCAAAAAATAGCATTTATATAGAACCAGAAAACGAGACAAAGGACCATCATCAAACATTAAACTTTACTGAATATAGACACTTCTTGTCACTTGCCCAAGAACTTCTGCCGACGTGAGTTCGCCACAGTTTTCATTCTTGGCAAAGGGTGTGCTTCAGTGGTGAGGACATAGTCTTCAAAATTCAAGACCTGCCGCAATGGTGGTTGGCAGTTGTGAACTCATGGAACACTACCCCGAAGCAATAAACAACCTTGAGATGCCTTGAGCCAAAAATATTGCATGTGTGCATGTGGACATATCAAGGGCATGCACAATGTACAACCACCAGCTTATTCCAGTGAACCAAGCGGCTGAGCGAGGATTTGGAAGAAAGGTGAGGTACAAGTACTTGAGAGTCTCCTCACTTTGAATTGTGCCATGCAAATCTCTAAATGACTTTGGCTCCATCAGCCCACCCAGCTAACCTCTTTTCATGTACCCATTGACCATGGCAGCTAATCAGCATTGTATTGTGTTTCTTTTCATAGCAGCTAGCTTCTCCCTGTTACCCTAGAGTCCCCTAGCCCCTAGACTAGAGGACTTGACCACCCTGATGAATATCTTTGAGAATCTTCCAAAGCCGGAAAGCGACTGGCTTGTCTTCCTTTCGTGGAACAAATGTTCAATAGCACTCGCCCAAACTCCCAACATAATTAATTATGTACCGCGTTACAACCGTTACTACCTGGCATTGGGGATGGTGCGACAATCGGCTTTCCTTTGTCTTTCGATACCATTTCAACACGACCAAGGTGCCGCCAAAAAGAAGGTCTCCATCTCATTCCGCTTCGCAGCTGGAGTGCGACGCACATCGGAGATAGCACCTCACCAGGAATAACATATCAATGCTATCCCCCAACTGGTCACCAATGAGAACTAAGGGGCTGTAGCCATAGGGTGCTCTGCAGTTCCTTTCAATTGCTTCCATGATCTCTCCTGCGAGAATGAGCATCTCATTCTTGTGGGTTGTGGCTTATGCCGTGACCAACAATAATCATAATCGCAAAGCCACCCCAGAGACATGCGCAAATACAGCATGCATCAAATGTCAGAAACAGTTTGCAGCTCTGTATCTTTGTCATAAAGCATGGGAAGTATCAACAACTGTTGCTTGGTTGGCCCACTGGGTGAAGTATTGCCAAAGCAACGCAATCAGATTAGGAACATGCAGTTCTCCTGCCCAGCGTCGATACTTTGGATCGCCAGTGTAGTAGAACATGTAGAAAATGGACTGCAGCATCAAGAGTTGAGGCCAGTGACCAGGTTGGTCCAAAACGGCCAAGCTACATTATTTTGATGGCAGCCTCCCCTACTGTTTCAATCTAGACGACTGCGCATATTTTGCTGCATGTACATCCTGCCGCTCATAATAGCATGTTCACAGCCTCCGCAGCCTCTGGCCGTAGCAAATACTGCCCAGCATTGTTCCAGGTACTCCTGAGGACGAAGGTTTAAAAATTGGGCTTAACACCCACAAAAAATGTATGTTTGAGTGGTGCGAGGAGACAAAACACTGCAGAATTTTCACCACAAAGTTCTGTGCTGCAAAGTCGCATATCTGAACCCTGTGCTCCCTGGGGATTGAAGCGCGTCGCTTCCGGGGCCAAATGGGTCGGCTGGCGCTTGTACATCCTCGGTGCTGCGCCAGTTGCTGCTACGGCCAGCTACAGCTACTTGTTGTTTTTGGCTGGCTCTGCTTTCATGTCCTTTTCACATTTCCGACATTTCCAATGTTCCTCTTTCTTATTTACGAGGGTTGCTTCGAGAACGCGGAGCTCTTGAGCGGTCCAAACAGCTGGCGATTGTTTCACAACATTCCTGTCCATTACAAAATGGAAAGCCAATCACATCTCAAACCAGGAAGAGTTGAGGGGTGGTTACATATACAAATAAAAAATATACAGTACATATACATACATACTGCAGGCAGCACTTGTCCGTGTCCATTAACCATTAAAGTGCGGTGTTCGAAATCAAGAGGAGTATATTAGTGCAAAATGGAAAGGAAACTACTCAACAGAAATCACTAGCAGTAAGGAGGAGCAAGTAAACTACTGTATAATCAAAACGAACCAAATCCGTTTGGCATGATCGCAAATGTTCTCGTAGAAATGTTCTTCGAAGCCTAAGCTTCTCATAGCAGGTCTCCGTGATGCCCGCGGCAGTCTTCTCCCAGCGCGAGTCAACCTCCTCCAATGCCATCGCAAAGGGGTGCTAGCTGCAGTCGCAAGATATCTTGACCAGGTGTGTAAATGTCACTCGTGGGGTTTTGGCCACCCCCTTCCGTGGAAGTCAAAGCAAACTCACTCAACATCATGTCATGTCATCTCTCATCTGATTGTGGTATGCGAGTGGCATCTTTAAAAAGAAAAGAGAGCAAGCAAACAAACAAACACACAAATTCGACTAAAGCGGCCGGCCCTTCAGGGAGATTGTGTTCGAACCCAGTTCAAGTAATCGATATTGATTAACTGCAACTATGTGCAAATTCAATCTGCGGGCTTCAATCTCAAACCAACGACTGCATGGATCTGCAGTGCACAAGCAGCTCAGCTCCTCTGGCTTCAACTCCCGCGCGCCATAGATGAGCATACCACCTCTCCGCACTGAGCTTCTTGACTGGATTTTCTGGTCCAAAGTCCGTCACACGGCCATGACATGAAACTGCAATGGAGGCCATCTACGCAACAAGTCCTCGCGGAATACGCAACAAGCGAGAGAACACTCAACAGGGCCACAGCCCGGCCCTCCAACAATGTTGAGATCAAAAGCAAGTGCACGGCAGGTGTACGGTCTAGAGGTAGATGCAGGCAGAACAACAAGCCCCAGCCGCCTACAAAGCAAGCCAAGTGATCCATCTTGTGATCGGTTCGGCCGTTTTTCTCTTCGGCGATGTAAGTCAAACCACCTTGCAAAGAAAGAGGACCAAATCGCAGTCAAATAGTAAGTCTCTTCCAACTAGTATGATTCATTATGATGCTCGTTCATGGTTGCTTTTCTGCTTACTTTGGCACAACTTCACGAACACAGAGGTGCATTGAGGCATTCCAATGACTGCCATGCATGCCTAGCACTTGCACTTCTAACCCCCCTCTCCAATAGTCGTAGCCTTTAGTGGTGAAAATCAAGCGCTGGAACGCTTTGTTCATCGCTCTCTTCCATGCCTCAGCCCACCACCACAGCTTCTTGGTGGATTGAAGCTGTTGGAAATTCGTCGAGACATGTCGGGACCCGATGTCCAAACTCTGCAGTATCAGAAGTTCTCTGCTGCAAAAGCGGCAAGTCATATGTATAGCTAAAAAATCTAAAGGAACAAACTGATTTGATGGTGTCACTGGCACTTTCGGGCCATCTAGCAAGCAGGCGATGCAATCATGCAACAGCAATCATGCAACAGCCTTTGGGATCATGAAGGATAAAAGCCAAGTCGCTTCCTTCCACTCAGGTTCAGTCTTGTCCGACTGGATATACCTAAGAGCTGCATTGCATTGCAAGGCTGCCACTCATGACAAGCTCAACCTTCTACTTGAGCATTGAGACCCAACAATGAAAATAGCGCATGCCCGGTACTAATTGCATTCGTATTTGGAAGGATGAGAAGGCCGTGCTCTGCTTCCCAGAAAGGCAACTTCTACATCATGGACCAAGTCACAACTTCAGCAGGTATTCATAGTAAGAATCGCCCATGGCGCCAAAGGTGATGTGACCTCAGCTGCGCTAGCCTCGATGCCCCCCTCATGAATGCAATGTGCGGCCGGAGATGGGATGCGCCCATGCCCACTCACCATGTGCAGCCGGAGTTGCTGTTGCTAAATCTCGCGGTGCCGGTGTTGGACAACCCCCACGGCACTAAGCCTTGCCCGTTCTCTGCCTGGAACAGTGAAAGAACTGGTTCCAGGCTACACAACGAAAGGCATCAGCATCAGCATACCGCGAGTGCAGCCCCAACATCAAGGTTAAAGAACGATAGCGGACAGCTAAACAAGGGACATCTCTTGACAAAACAACCGCCATAGCCAGGGCCATAGCACATTGCAGTCCCATCATTCCCCCCAAAACTAGTAATTCGTTGCTCGGTCCACAAGGGGGCCTGCAGGATTTGGCGCATAGCTCGGTCACCCGCTTGCGCAAATCTGGCATCTCCAAGCCTAAGGAAAGAGAGAAAAGAAGGGATACACCAATGCGCTACTGAAAATGCACGTGGAACCTGGTCTGTAGACAAAAACCATCTCTCAGTCTCTCGGCACTCTGTTTTTGGGGTGCTTAAATGTTCTAAATGTTGTTTTGGGAATTCTACATTCTGTTGGTAGGGAGTCTGAGTCAAGTATACCAGGGAAGTTGAGGAGAGTCTCAATGTCCACGACGTCCACAATGATCGTCAGTTGTCGTGTGCTGGTCCGAGCAGCTGCTGCGAAAGGTAGCGAAACTCCAGCTGCACAGTTCCCGCCTGGTTGAAAATGTTAAATGTGGAGTGGGAGCAAAAAGGCAAAACACCAGCAACCCAGTGTACCCAAAGAGTACCTGGGTCTGTCTCGAATGGATGGATTGTCATCATTATTTTGCAATGTTTTGCTTGGTTTATGAGGTTCTGAGATAAGCCCCGTTGCCATATGTTTACCTGTAAAGCTTGTTTGTATGGTGAAACACAATTCGCTCTCCTGGTAACATGGTAACATGGTGGAGTCGGTACGCACGAAACATTGCTAGATGCTATAACATGTGCAATCAATTGGCTGGGAATTACATGAAGGCTTGTGCGGTGTCAATGAGACTGTAGACTTGTGGCAGAAACGTCAATGAGATGATATATATATATATATAGAGAGAGAGACCTTAGAAATACTAAATGGAACATGCAGTGAAGATTGCAACACGCAAAGATTCAATAGCATACAGTACCCCTATGATGATGTATTGTGTTTATTTTCTGTCAGAACTCACAACGCACTTGGGCCCCTTCCCCCACCCAAAACAGATGCGCCTCCGCGAGCAAAGTTCCAGAGAACCATCCTTTCTTTCCCTCACCCGTCCTGGCAATGTACCCTCGTGTCCTCCCTTCACAATTTCTTCGGGTCCCGAAGGCGTGGCGGCCATTTGTGTGGAATTTGTGTGCATTGTATTTATGTGGTTTCATGTGTGTGTGTGTGTTCAAGGTTTCCTGAGAAAGGTTTTTGAGATTTGTGTAATACATGTATATAATAAGCCTACACCTCATTGCCTTTCTAGATTTATATATATAATAATGATAAAACTGTTTGGCGTGCTTCGAGGGGCTCTGGAGTTCAATGGTCTCCATTGGATGAACTACTCTCGGATTCCACATGCTGTGCGATTTGTGGCCCAGTCACATCAGCCGTTCCAAACCCATCTCCTGACGTTGAATTGCGTCATCGGAAATCCTTGCTGAGTCAATCAATTGACTTGAACTGGCCGCACACCGCATCAAGAAGCTACCAGCAGGCTGGCTGCAACCCAATGATTGTCAAGGTTGTTACTTGCTGAGCCTTGCTAAGACCTAGAATCTGAGATAAAGATAGACAAAGATGATAGACACATCTACAGCAACACATCCTGTTGTTTGGCCATATGTCTACAGCTCCTATCTGATGCCGCCAGCGCCGAAAACATGATCAACATCTGTGGCTTCCCCACCAGTCTGCTGATTAAAGGCCCTTAGCAGCTTTTCACCAAGCTCCTGCAAGACACTCAATGGAGCCTTTCGGATGTTCAAAACATATGTTCAGTCGGATTACAGCAATATTCAATATACAGCAATCAATGACAAACTCGTCACTGAAGGCACTGAGTCGAAACCTGTTCTCCCTTTCCAGCTGTGATCCATTTCATTCTGTTTCGTTCTGTTTCTACGAGACATGACTTTGAGCACACGGTCTCGGCCATCAGTTGGATGAGGTTAACGAAGACACAGCTCTTGCATGTTCTTGCTCACCTATGATTCTAGCAAATTCCATGTACCGTATTGGAAATTATATAAAGCTTTAAAAGCAAGGGCTTGTCGTGCTGTGGAGGTCACATAATAAAGCGGTTGTGCAACTGTCAGGCGGAATGTGAAGGCATCGACAAAAAGGCATCCGATCGATGGGCTGTCCTCCGCTTTCCGAAGAAAGACCTCCCGACCCGAAAGGGCATGGGCCGAGAGCAGGCCTCCTCGGTCGATCAGTGGAGCCAATGCTCGTCCGTCAGCTGAACAAATCAACCATTGATCAATCGCCAGGGTTTTCCATTGCCATGCAAGAAAGAAAACAAAGCTGAAAGAAGTGCGATGCCATGCGATGCCAACTGTCAACCCTCACCTAAACCACGGATCACGATCTCGAAGAAGGAGACGAAGCCAGAGTGCTCAAACCTCGTCTCGGGAAAGTCACAAAAATGACCTTTGTGGAACATGTCAGAACGGCCCATTGCATCTCAAAACATCAAATCTTGTCAACTTCATACTGCAGGACCAAAAACAGAACAAACAAAAGGATGTCAGGTGCAAAGTACCGACAAACGGTGGCAAGGCACCGCAAGCTCTGCTCTACCCACTGAGCACCTTCGTTGAATTCGTCCTGGCGAAGGCATCGCTTCGTTTGCCAACTTACTTGCGAAACCCCACCGTCCTTGAGATCCATGATCCAAAGAGTGGATAGCGCATCCAAAATCCTTGTTCACAGGCGGAGATGTGCGGACCATGCACCTATCAGCACCTATCAGAATAGCTTGCCCAGCCCACTGATATGAGCAATCATGGGCTTGAACAGGTCTTTTGCCGGCTGATTGTTCGTCTGTTTTCCGCCATCCTTCATCCACTACACCCTTCAAGCACTGGCCAAGTCTGAATCCAAGATAATCCAAGCATCTGAAGCCCTAAGTTGCCCCATACACGACCTGGATTGCCAGATACGGGTGTCATCTCATCTTTGCCCCAGGCCTCTGCGTCAGAGGTCAAGTTAGCGACCACAATCCTCTCTCAAGATATATAATGTGGATTCACCACGACTCCATAGAAGGAGAAGCAACTTCTGTGATGGTATTCATCTAAATGGAGCAAATTCAAAGCCGTTTGAGCCTTTTGTAATAGTTCTATCTATATATTTCTGTTGTGACACTACCTCGTAATGGTGAAGATTAACGTGGGTGCCAGAGCTGACAGGACATCCCAAAGCCAAGAAAACTGCTTGGAGCTCAGTCGAGATGCACGTTCCTTGTACCCTTTCCAGCTGTGGATGGCGGCATTCCTCCGAAGCGGCAGTTGGTGGATCATAGGAGTGCAAAAACATTATTTTAAGAGATTGAACATGATTGGACTCTCACATGATCAGGCTGTTCTTGGCACTTGGAACAGCTCTCCAACATCGTCAACCACGAAGAGATGAGGTCGGGCGACCTACCGACCCAGCGACCGCCATGACCTGCAACGGCCCTTCTCCTGGCCATCTGGCGCCACTTCTCCGCCTCTTTGGCCGATGCTTCAAGCTCAGCTCTGGAGAAGCGTGCCAACCAGTCTGCCGGGAAGTCTCCGTCCTGGCAGACTGGAAGCCTCTGTAGAGCTGAGAAAGCTCAATTGCCAAAGAACGAGTCTCCACTTACAGGAAAAGGTTAAGAATGAGTCTCCACTGACTTGCGTATGTACTGGACCGTCCAGACTCTAGACCCCACAAAAAGACATGTTTTTTGGGGGTATATACCATTTTCAGGCACAGCTCAAAAAAGACCAACACAACAATCAACAAACAATGTTGGTGTCATTTGGCGTCGATGCATGTGGCTTCTGTATTGTTTTTTGTGACTTCTGCGTCATGTTGGTGTCACACTTTTGGTCGCAAATGTTCTGCATCTTTCTGCGCATCATGTTTTCCTGCACAACGGGAGAATCTTGTGAGGGGACTAATTACAGTATATCGGTTCTGCGAGGGAAGTACTGAGTAAGTACTGTGTCTCAACGTGGACCGGACAAGTTCCTTTGCATCTTACATGCAGTGTTCCCGTCTTATGACGTGAAAAAGGCCCTACAGTTCTGAAAGCCAGTTGCACCTTGCGCTCCGCTCCTGGTTTGCAGCATGCTCACTTGTAGAGCCACCTGAGTCACTGGCTGGTAACCTCCCTTGGGCTGATATGACATGATTTCGCTCCAAGCGTATCACTACGTCACTGCGAGGGGCCCAAACATGCGTTTCATACATCCACATACGAGACAAATCTGTTATGTCCATTTGTACTTACTCTGGCTATACTTGCATGAAACATCATGAAACAAAGTTCCGCTTTCATCCCAAATCACGTCTGTAAAGCGACGGCCATCAAAAACCTCGCCTCCTTCCAGTGGCGGTATTGCAGCTGGGATCGAAACAGCGTGCTCCTGCTGCTGTGCCGAAAGGCTTTTCAGGGCAGCTTGCAAGGACTGGATCTCTCGCTGTTGCCTCCAGGGTGGTATGACATGATACCTTGAACAGTGGAGATTGAACACTTACTTATTGAACACTTGCAATTAGGTTGGAGGCCATCGCTAGTAGCTTGGAGGCCATTGCTATTATACAATATGGAAGACGTGGGGAGGTCTTCCAGCGGTACTACCTCCTCTTCATTCTTGCTTTCTGGGAGGTCTTCCAGATTGAAAACTTCCTTGTGTCTTCATGGAATTGAAGTAGCAGCATAGGACTTATTGCATCTCTGAGTCTGTCCGAGCCAGCTGGTTGGAAAGCCTTTGGGCATTGGTCGGCATTGGTCACACGATGTGCTAGCATCGGGCACTGCGACCAATTTGCCAACTGTCGCCTCTCAACTTCTTCCTGATGTTCTTTGGCCATCTCTTTCATCTTCCGCGTCACGGCCTGCAAGAATGGCTCACAGCAGCATGGCTCATGATGAAATCAATGTCCAATGCTATAATTAGCTGCTATAGTACATAGTACATACTCAAAAAATGTGATGCTGCTGCTCCTCGTTCCCAAGATTTCGCATCATTTTGGTGCACGACCCCAATCCTAACATACCCAAACCCTAGACACTGATGTTTTGACTGTATCATATCATCTGTGGGCAAGGCGACCTGAAAACAATCATGGTTCGCATGAAATCTCAGAGGCTCACCGTATCGGCTGTGCCCACCACCACTGGTGGTAAAGGCGCGGGGGTTGGTGCAACCAACTGGTCTTCCACTTGGCGGAGTTCCTTCCTGAGTGCAAATTGCGCCCAAAGTTATGCTGTTGTACATCGATGTTCTCTTGATTGTGCAAAGGTGACCCAAATGCTTTCAGCCAACCTTCGGAAGATTGTCATAAGTTAAAAGTTGTGCATGCGCCTTCTGTTGCCACCAAGCAGCTGTTGTCCAACCAGCAAGGTGTTGAGCTGACCCAACAGCTTCGTTAACCTCAAGCGGACACTGGCACGACTTGGCCAGTGGCTTATAGGCTTATAGGTAAAGGCAAAGCAGTTGAAATCTGGTGGGACGTGAGGGAGCATTGTGATCGCTGAATCTTAGCCATGATTGATTTGCCAGTTCAAAGGAGTTCAAGACTCTGGATTTCATCCTCAGCATCTGCTCAATGTGGGCCTGCATATGCTACTGCAGGGAACGAGAAAACGCTGCGGCCGCCTCATCACCTTTTTGAAACATGGCGCATGGCGCACAAATGTGCCGCTCAATCGAAGCAGTTGAATGAGGAGTCAATGGGCAAAGCAGTGCTCTTGTCTTCTTGCTTGCGGAGATATCTCCTGGCTTGCCGCCTGAAGACTGGGTTTTCCAGGAGATCTGTGGTGGCCGGGCGACGATGTGCGTCCAGTGCCAACAAGGCTGCAAGGACCAAGCGCAAGGGTCCAATGCGACCCCCAGCGTCAAAGGGAAGCCAACTGGAAGCGTCCTCCTCTGCGCTTGGTGTAGCAGCCTCGGCGCGGCTAGCACTCCGCTTCTCTTCGACAAAGGCCTTGATGAGGCCTTTGAGCACATGAGGGTCGTCATGAAAGAAAGGCAAGGATGCGAAGCACATGGCATAGAGAACCATGCCAAGGGACCACATGTCGCTCTTTTCTGAATACTCACGTTCCTGCTCATCTTCTCTAAACAGGAGCTCCGGAGCAGTGTACTCCACCGTGCCAGTGTACCCCCGAGATGCAGCGGCTGTAGCACTGGCGGGTGGCTCACCGAAGGCTTGGGCCGTGCCGAAGTCACTAAGCAAAGCCCTTGGACTTTGGGTCCGCCGGCTATTCTCCTCTGGCCACGAGAGCAGAATGTTGGTCGGCTTCAAGTCACGGTGGAGGATGCCTTGCCTGACTGCCATCGAAAGCCACAAAAAGAATAGAGTGAACGCCAAAACCAAAATTGATTCTTGTGAGCAAAGCGACTAACCAAATCTGGAAATCTGTGCATTTGAGATAATTTGACGAGCAAAACTTTTGGCCAAACCTGCTTGCCTGTGCAAATGCTGCAGGCCAAGCAAAATATCCAGCAGAAAATGCCAGGTTTGCTCTGTTGAGAGAGGCTCTTTGGGCGTGGCAAGGTTGCCGTCATGCCATATGATTTCGGCTAAGGAGCCCCCGTTGCAGTATTGCATCAGGATGAAAAGAAAGGGCACGAAGGGACAAAACTCAGACCTCCGCGACAGCTCCAACCAAGAGTGCTTGTACTCTACAATGTTGGGATGATGTAAACCTGATTGCTGGAGACGGTGGAGATCAGCTGACACTTTAAAAGAAAATGCTTGCAAACCATTGCAAACCTACTTCTCAAAGAACACACAAACAAAGAACGTCATGCTAATGCAAAACTCCGCAACGTTCAAATGTCTTCACCTCTCGAACCATGTCGCGGAGCCAAACCTTGTTGTCGCCCACAGGCACCTTCTTAACAGCATAGTCCCCAAGCATCATGTCGTCTAAGACATGGCGGCACAGGAACACTGCTCCGAAACTGCCAGAGCCCAACATCCGTGTCTCTTGAAAAAAACGGGCATAGTAACCCGTGTTCAACAAGCCAGCCGGAAGATGTCTCAAAGCAGCTGCAGCTGCTTTCTCTTCTTCTGCCCCTCCCTCAGATGCAACAACTGGTACCTCTGCAGCTTTTTCCTGCCCACTCAGCAAGAAAGGGTTACTGTCGTAGTCGCCAATGGCCTCTATTTCAACTGCTTCTTCACCATCAGATGCACCCAAGCGGTCCAAGCGGTCCAAACCGCGAGCGGAGTCATCTTGAAAATCGTCACGATCATCGGAAGTTCTTTGAAACTTGAGCCCGGCAGCATGGACCATTTCCATGAAGGTCTCGACGTCAAAACCCTCCAGGTCCATGTCGCCAGAATTGTCATATTTGGCCCGCTTGGTCTCATCAGAAAGGACACTGAAGGCCTCTGCCACCTTCTGGAACCTCAATTTGGCATCTTTGTCATTTGGATTCTTGTCAGGGTGAAACCTCAAGGACCGCTTCCGGTATGCACGTTTGATGTCATCCGCTTTGGCATTGCGGGAAACACCAAGTATCCTGTACAGGTCGGTCTCAGAGAGGAGGTCGATGTCCTCCCCCTCTGTGCTGTCCCGACCACCTGAGCGGAAGAGTCCCTGGAGCAGATCGAAGTATGCTTGAGCTGCGAAAGCAAAACGAGCATCCACCGTCTGTCGACAAAGGGGGCAGCGCCCTGAAGGGTTTGCCAGCTCCGTGCCTGGAGCTGCCTGACAAGTCATCAGCCTAAATTGATATCAATTAACAATTAGGACCGGCTACACTGCTACACCTGCACATAGAGGAATCAGGAAGAAAGGTCCTATTGATTTTGGTTCTGGTCCATCGCAAACAGATTGCCTTTGTAACGTATACGTAACGAATAACATGTACACGCCCTGTCAGACGCACTATGCAAAAAAATCAGTGTGTGCGTGCATAAACCACATCACTACCCACGCAATTCCCACCACATCGACAAGCTCGGGCTGTTTCCAAAAAGGAGACGAAACACAAGGTGACATCACAAAACAATACCCCAGCAAGTGTGAAGTGCCAAGCAATCAAGGCTGACACAGTCTGACACATGTTTTAGTTCATCAAGTATGCACACAGAGTCTGAAGACACAAAGTGTGAAAGCCACACCAACCCATGCCGGACCCTTGCCTCGTCAACCGAGAGTCTGCGCGAACGAAATGCAGGCTTCTCATCAGGGTTGTACAAAACCACATTTCGGTCGTGGTAAAGTACCATGCGCCAGTCAGATGCGTTGGCTGGCGGTGCGTGGTGCTCATCTATGTGCTCTCCTGGATCTTCATCTGCTAAGGCTGGTAGCCACTGTGGAACTGAGGATGACGGCAGCAAGCCTGCGCCACGTGGACGCTTGGAGGACGGCATGAGGCTTGGTGAGTCCTGGCGCCGGCCAAAGGGAGAACAGTGAAGGTTGTCCATCCTCTCCGCCAATAGCTCCCCGGGACGCTTAGTCTGATCGGACCTCCCATCCATGAACTCACTTGCCCATGTGGCCCATGTGGAGCCGTGCAACTCGCTTGATCTGAAGCACCTTGGCTTCAGGCCTTCTTGGCTACATGATCCACTTGCTTGAGAGCAGGTTGACATGAAACGAGCTGTCTGTGATCCAAAGGTTGTTTTCTGTTTATACATCTTAGCTTCAGCTCAGATATTCGGCACAACAGCCCTTAAATGGATACAGTATACCAAACTTCTCTCAAAAGCCTCAAGCGGAAACATCTCTGGCAAAGGCCTCTGGGCTCCCCAACTCCCGCTGCTGTAGCGCGAGAGCCGTTAAGTTGGCTTCATGGACCTTTCCAAGATCCAAGCGCTGATTCTGAGTGTAGATCATTACTATACCAAGGTTGCATGGGCCTCAAACACCCCAAAACATCCAAAAACAGCCCAAAACATGTGTTTCGATGTTGACGGTTTTGCTTATCCCCTGCCTTAGCTGACTGTGGGAGTCTGTCAAGTCCACCTCTCTGAGTAGCACCAGATATATGTATTTATACAGTAAATATATATATATATATCCGTCATATCGGTTATAGCCGTTAAGCAAAACATTGCAAAACTGCCTGCAGGTAGTGCCACAGCCGTGCATTTTGGCTTTGAGCTGCTGCATCTGCAGGATCATTGTGGCTCAGCAAGAGTACCAGCTGCAAACAGCCTTAAAGGTGACGCTGCATGTCAATGTTGTGCAAAGCCATGCCCAGCCTATCTGCAACACAGCCGGCCCCAAACAATGATTATATTATATACACAATATATTCATCAAAGCCTGGGCTTTGCAGCCATCGATATTATTAGTATCGGGTGTCCGATGCCTGCTGACTCAGACCGCAAATTGAAAAATTGTTTTCTCCCATGACTCGCCTGTACTTTATTCTACTGTAACCTTTGGCCCTTCCCTCAAAGGTTCCTCTGGCACATTATATATAAATACTTTTCATCCATCACATACTCTTCATCCATCATCTTCATCATTGATCATTATCCCGAATATTGCCCGGCAAGATGCAAATCAGCAACACGACTGTGACCTCTGCTCACAAGCATTCACGAACACAACGGGAGAACTTGAAGATAAGCTACATACATGTGACCAATTACAAAAACACAAAAATGCACATTTCAATATATTGATATTGATACCAAAGGATTAATGATGCACAAACAGCAAACTCAAGGACCTCAAGTATCTCAAAATATCGAATACAAAATTGCAAACAACTAGTGCTGCCAAGCCTCTCCACATCCCAAAGATCGCATTGAGAGGAAGCCACGTGCAGAGCCAGACGTGCCATTACTGGGCACCTCTCCGTGCCTCCTCCTGCAGTGGGATGTGTTGGGTGCCTGGAGTGTGTTGCCCCGTCACCAGCCTCATCAAGCTGGATGACCGTAAGCCACCCAAAACGCCGTCGAAGGTGTCAAAGGCCTAGTCCTAGAGTTCCTCTTGAACACCCACTCCTTGCAGCAAAGTGTCCTTATTTGGTAGCCTGACCCGATACACCCACCCAAACGGTCCTTGAGGGCTTGTCAGCCGATGGCATGGCACGTGCCCCGATCTCTTGAGGGTTCTGTGATCTAGTGTTGCCAAGCCTTGCTACCCAAGCAGCTTCTGTTTTGCCATGTTTTGCCAGAACCTCCTCGTCACAGCTTAGACTGGGGAAGGTCTACTTCGGTTTCCTTTCACACCATGTTGCTTCTCAAGCGCTGTAGGGTACTCTGCCTGTCTGTTCTGCCAGGAAGGCCGTTGTCCCTTCCACAAGATATATATATATATATGTAATATTATGTAATATAGGTGACTTCATGTGGGAACATTTCTGGCTGGTTTGTCTCCACCAAACCGCGCAAAGATTGAATGTTGCAGACTTTTGCTATGTGCGACTGCATGACCACCACCCAATCACCATAACGTGAAAAGTCAGAACGCTTGAGAATAAAGGCAGCGCCAGCGGCTCACGGACGTCATGCTTTTGCACCCACGACACCTGCCCGACAGTATGCCTTCCACCCCATCAGCCTCATCAGTCTCAGGAGCTAGGCCGACCGGGGCATCCAACTAGGATTTGCAGAATCAGTAATTGAGGCAACATGCACAACATAAAGTTTATTGAGGCTCGAGGCCGGCAACTCCAGTTCCCCCTCTGTAGGGCCGGGCTGGCTGCTTCCATGATCCTAGCGCAAGCAAGGGCCAGTGAAGTTGAAGTGTATTTCATGATCTTATTGAGCACTACCAGTCGAGTTAAACCAATACAGTAATTCAAATCTTCACGACCGACTCACTCATCACTCCCCTCCAAGGGCTAACTTCAGTCACAGGGGTTCGTTCGATTATGTGTGGATTGGAGTGATGGGTCTGATGGGAGATGGTGTGCCATTGCCGTGAAAATGGCTAAGTTTGTGCAAATAATGATATTTGATATCTTATCTCACTATCTGCTGTGCTGCGACAGGAAGTGCAAAAAGAATCAACAAGCCATGGCGAAAAACGATCGCTCGAACAAAGCGCAAAGTGAAAAAGGGGTTCCCTTTTATGCGAACTCTTGGCCCAGTGCACTACGGTCGACCATGCATCAAGCTCATCCGCACGAAACTTCACACTGAGGTATCTTTCTGGGCTTGATCTCTCAACAGCACATAGGGATGTTGAAGCCACGCATGCAACACGTTCATCAGCTTGACGGAATACTTCGTCAATCCGTCTGCCCACATCAGCTGAGTTGGAATCCAATGCGTGTTCTCTCTTGTGATGTACTGTTGAATGCTTCGCACCGAGGCCATGATCTCCTGAGCCGTCTTGGGATCGATGGGATCCACGGACTTGAAGGTCATCCAGGACTTCTCTTCATCCTGTGCAGCTTTGATGAAGGCTGCAAGGTAGTCGCCACCTTTGTCGACAATGACACGCCAAGGCAGCTCTTTGTCGAGCGCTTTCTGCTGCTGCCGAGTCAGAGGTGTGTCTGGCTTGGTTGAAGTGGACATGTTGTCCTGGGATGCATCAGAGTCTTCATTCACGCCGTCTCCTTGGTAGTCGGCATTGGCCTGGTATGCTTTGAAGCAGGTGGTTGATGCGTAAGGCGTGTAGATGTCTGTACTGCCGTCGAAGTGCTTATGGTTCATCATGACGCCTTCGTCGGTGTATAGCATTGGAGCTTGCTGTGCTTTGTGGTGAAATTGTAGTGCTTAGGGCCTAAGGGCTTGCTTGCTGAATTCTGACCACCGTGTTAGCAGTCGGTTTGCCATTTTGGCCTGCGCTTGTCACTTTGCTTGTTGCAAGCGAAGAGTGTGACGTCTCTTGTGGCTGCGGCTGTTCACTGCTGAGTGCTTGTTGTTCACTCGGTAGTTCTGTGTGCTCAATGTTCCTTGTTCTGATGTCATCAGGCAAGGGTGTTCCAGGTCGCGGAACTGCCAGCAGCTTTTGGCGTGCTTGCTTGTGGGTTCAAGTCCTCTGGTGTTTGAGGTACTTGATGTTCGAGGTCTCCGGAACTGCCGTCGGAGACTGTGATTGGTATGTGCTCTGGCGCAAGTGCCGGCGCTGGTAACGGAGGTGTTTCTGTTCCAGCGCCGCGTGGTTGCGCCGGTGTCGTTTGCAGTGCTTGCTCATGTGCTGGAGCTGCTCTGCTTGGTGTTCTGGATCGATGTGCTCGGCGAACTGGTGTTCGAACAGCTGGCCGTCTCAGCTGTTCGCCTGTCATGCCAAATGTGTTGCTTGTCCGCTGTAGCTGTATGTATGTTGGTGAGGAAACCTCGATGGTAATGTTCTGCGTTGTTGCGTGGTTTTGCTGTATGTTTGGTAGTGTGGTTGGAGGTGTCTCATGCTGTGTTTGTTGAGGTTGTGGTACATGAGGTACGACTTGAACGAGGTTCTGGTGGTGGTGGTGTGAAAAACGGTTGTAGTGCATCAGGTTCTACCTCTCGGAGATGGTCGTCGTTGCCGAGGGGTTGGTACGGATCTTCTTGGACAGGCAAGGTCTCATCTTCGAACATCCCAGCCTTGATGTTCTCAGAGGCTGACCGCAGTGCTCGAAGGTCCACTGAGTCTGGAGTCCAAGCCTCAAAACCATAGGCCTGTCGCGCCTGTTCTCTGGCTATCTTGACGGTGTTGGTCCCTGGTTGGATTTAGAGGGATTTGGCGTCCTGGTCGAAACCCAGGAGCCTGGCCAACTTGTAGCCGCCTGTCTTCTTCCCACTTCGGGATGTCCAGCGCCAGTAAGCGACGGTGTCACCGATGGAGAGCTGCAGCCGTAATGCAGGTTGAGTCTTACATAGTAGAGCTCGTCGAAAGGCTCCATCAACTTTCATTGCGGCTATCTGTTGTTGCGCTTCTGAGCGTAAGACATCTGCCAGTTGGTGCATGTGTTGTTGAGTTCCACCAGCTGCAAAGCTGTGGTCATCGGAGAGAAGGTCCAAACCACCATGTCGCGTAATGCGACCAAAAGCAGCGATAAACGGAGGCCTGCCGGTGCTCCAAGCGCAGGCATTCTTGGAGAAGACAGTATTGGCAATTGCGCGTTGTGACGTTCTACCAAACCGATGCGATGATGTGCCTCAGCAAAAACGTAGTCAGTCTGAGTTCCGGTGGTGTCAAGGAACTCTTCGAACTCACCACGGAAACTGCCATCATGAGGGTCCAGTCGGACAAATGAGGATATCCGAAAGGCTGTGCCCAAATGCGGACGAACTTTTTGAGGACTTCACCTGGAAGGCGATTTTCAAGAACTGCTGCTTGGTGCAGATGAGTGCATTCATCTATCACCCCCAGAACTGGGTAGTTTCGCCCGGTGATGCCACGGAGGTACACGATGTCCATTTGGATAGCATCAGCGAACTGTCTATACCCCACATCGGGTATAGCTGCAGGCGGCGGTCTTGCCGGTGTTCTTGTGCGCTGGCATGAGGTACACACCAAATCTTCAACTGCCATGATTGTTCGATTGCGAACGCCGTTCATGGCGAGCATGCAACTTCTTCAGTTCACCCGGTGGCGGGTGCCCAAGGTTCCGGTGCACCCGTGCAACGACAGTTCTGGTCTCACTGTCGTATAGTGTTTCTCAACAGGGAAGCTGATCTCTCGGTCGAGGTGTTCGAGTCGGTGTTGAGGATTGTCTTCCACCGGCTCTGGAAGTGGGTCGTGACCAAGT